AGTACAATGAGCAATTGTCTGAAGCATCTTCCCAACGTTTTGATCAATAAAAACATTGACCAGATTTGCATGTTCATATGTAAATGCCAGCAAATAAAAACTGATGAATAGACTATAAACAAGGGAAAAAAAAAAGATAATAAAATAGGAAGACGGTTGGAAATCACTGACAGTTTCATTTGCCTGGACAACTGCATGAGTGTATAGTCCAAGATGGAAGACGGGTAACAGTAAATTAGAGAAATATGAAACACTTTAAAATTTCCTTTGAAGTTTCAAATCAGTTTCTTTCAAGAAATAAGTATCAGAGGAGTTGTAGCTCTATGTGACCTGTCAGTCACATCATGGTAGTTCACAAAGAAGTCAAATCTTTTGCAGAGGTTGCTGTATTACGAAGCAGGCAGGTATTTGTTTTCAACTTTGGTGATCTTGAAGTCATCACTACAAGTAAGTAATCTGTTGCAGTTACAAGGTATTGGTGCAAATACCTAACTGTCACTTTGCTAGGGTCTCCAGCTGATTGTTTTACTAATGCAGAGGGAAGAATGCAGAGAGAAGTTCTTTTAGAAACTTTAAAACTTGATAGAGTCTGTACTAATGAAATCTACCCCATTCTTCAGCACAGCAAAATAGGACAAAATCTTCTTACTATTAAAAATACAAGAGTGACTTTTAATCTGCCCCTCTGCTTGTAGCAGACTTCCTGGTGTTGGAACAGGGAGGCTGGGTACTCTTACTGCTTTTGTGGGTTGTAACATTGTCCTGGGTTTAGCAGTAGCAGTCATTTTCTCCTTCTTAGTAGCTGGTGCAGTGGGTAGTGGGGGACTGTGTTCCGGCTGGGCTTAAACCATGACAAAAGTCCAGAACATTGCCTGTATTATATGAGTCTTGATTAGACTGGAAATGAAAATTTAACCTTAATCTTACAAGAGAGACACATATATTTCCAGCATGGTGAAAGTCAATAGATAATTTTCCTACTGTTATTTATGAGGCGGGAGGGAAAGGAAGAGAAGAAAATAAAAAATAGTAAAGAAACAGTATTTAACCTGCATAGTCGGCGGGTACACTTCACAGCCTGCTCCTCTGATTGTCCAAACCAGGGGAGCTGTCAGTGCAGAATGTCTTCCTTGTATCTGACCTAAATCTCCCCTGATTTAAGTTTGAGCCCACCAGAGCATACAGGGTAGTTGCTGGATCTGACGATCCAAACCTTTGGCCATGCCACAACTGGGATCCAGTCATGGGGGCTGAAGTTCCCCAGCAGTGTCCATTCAGACAGTGCAGCCTCCACAGCACTGGAGAGGGATGGGAAATGTCTTTCGGGTATGATGGGTGAATAGCACTCAGATGCTAATGACCTTTTTTCAGTCTGATAGTTGATCTTATCATACAGTTGGTGACATTTAGAAAAAAATAAAGTGGAATTTGGAGGAAGAAAACAGAGAAATAAGTGAACTATATGAAGATGGAATGCCTTGGGCAACTTTTGCCACACAAAAACTGAAGAAAGAATAGTGCAACATTGTACAAAAATGGTTGTGTTCTACAGTCTGAGTATATGACATCAAAAAACTGAATACTTTAAAAAAAAATATTTACACAATGGAAGGGCCATTTTACTTTTGAGGCAGAGAGCAAAGGAAGACTTCGGGGACTGCCTTCTGTAGAATTGAAATTTAATACAGAAAAATTAAATGCCAACATGGCTTCTGTCAGACGAGCAGAATGTTTTGTTTTGTCTTCTGTGCTGCAATTACTGAAACACTAACATGCAATACACAATTAGAATCCATTTCTTGAACAAAATTAAGTCAGATATAAGGTCAAAAGTAGACCTTAGCAGCAGAATAAACAGCAATTTGGAGCAGAGTTAATGGATGAATATGAGGTATCTGAGTTTTGTCCAGTAAGTTTTCAGTTTTTAGGTGGTACTTTGGTAGGCAGCTAGCAGATGCTGAGACTGCAACTCAGTGTGTTTAATGAAAGGATCAATTAACTAATTGACTTTCCCAATTTCAAATCTAAAACATCGTGAAATAGTAAGGGTCAAATAATATTTCTGTGCCATCTGACCCAGTTGAAGATATTTGGTGGGAAATTCCTTTACAAACGACTGAGAAAAAAAGAGACAAAGATCTGATGATTTTTTTTTACATTATATTTCAAAAATTATTTACCTTTAAGTTGCTTTTCTTGCCATTGCAGTTCTCAATCTTCAATATATATCACTAGGTTATTACTGTTTTATTAGTTTAAAAAAAAACAGTAAGGTTTTCTATTTATGAAAATGTCTTATATGTGATATACAGCACATTGATATGAAAAATGTATTGTAAGAATCCATGTTCTCCAGGTGTGGAAATGAAACAGAGAAAATCAAACCCCATAGGCTTTCAAAACTTAATATGCTGCAGAAGGACTCTTTAGAATAACTTTGTGCAATGCTGATCCTTCTTGCCACTTGATGTTGCTTGCATGTGTTTAATTTAGACGGGCTTATTTTATGGACTTCAGTCCATAAAAAATGGGCAACTGAGTATGGGATCTGCAGGTTGAAGTCTGTTCTTCTGTGAATCACCACAAATAATTATCTGTCCCTTAACTGAAATGCGATTAACAATTCCATCTATGATTTACATCTGACACTATGGTCTGTGTTATGTCCCCAAAGGACAGCCACATTAGGTCTATAGTGCTAGTGGTGTGTCTACCCTGCAGTCAGCAGCCACTGTCAATATGACAGCTGTTCACACAGGCATACACAACTTGGCTGTACTTTGTTGGGAGCCATCAGCAGCATAGCCTTGGCAGCACGAAGTTCAGCATGGCACGTACATCTGCTTGGGAGCCTTGGCAAATGCTGAAGGCCTGAGGGCAGTTCTGCATTGCATTTTCTATAGTGTGGTGGTAGCCCAGGACACCAGTCTGTACTTGCCAGTCTTGGTAGTTTTAGGCTAAATCAACATAAACTACACTCATAACTTTGTCTTCAATGCAGAGTTATTCTAGGGAGGGTTGGGTGGGTGAACTGAATAGATAGGGCTCAATATATACACATTTCACTAGGCATAGTTATTGTCACCTTCTCTGAAGGGCTAAGTAGTTACTCTTTTAAAAGGAGTTGAAAAAGAACAATCCTTTTATTCCGGTATAATGTTCTACTATCTCTGATGACCAGGACAGCTGTTTAGTAATTGTTTTTATGTTTCCAAATGATTAATATGTACTGTCTTCTTTATCAAACAAAAATATTAATGGCATTCAATAAATATTACAACATTTTAATCACAGAGATACTCTGTGAGTTTATGGCTGCCTAAGTGCAGTCTAACACTTAAACGCTTGGGAGGTCTTGGATGGCTTGTGAATGAACACAAATACTGTAAATTAGTTCAGATCAGGAACTGCAGCATATGCTACTGTTTTGTGTAAGTGTGCAGTTCAGGCTGTGCTTTGTCACTGTCTCCAACAGGCCTACAGTGTAACCTGCATGAGTATGTTTTCTTGTCTTTATTTCATTTCCTTGTCTTAAAATGGGCAAAAAACCTTACTATATCTAAGTGTGAAATTCCTTTATGGTAAATAGGCACTTCAAATGCTATTTGAAACACTCTTTAGACATTGCACAGTGTTTCAGAATATATCCCAATGTAACATTCTTTTCAAGAGACAGAAGCAAACAATCTGTGTACTTCATGAAAGACAGATATTCTAAAGCTATAAAGAAGGGACAAATTCTTCTGTTCTAAATTTGGATAACCAAACCTGGACAACCTTCTCTTCTGCAGAACTCTATAGCTCTGCCTCTTTACATTATGAATTATTTTCTCTAGGTGGCTGAGTCCAGTGCTGTTACCCTCAAGAGTTCAACAAGCCACTGATGTTTTATGCAGATTATTTTCTGCCGTTGTTTTCTTTCAGTCCTGTCTGTGCTGCTCTTTGCATCTTTCCATACTGTCTTCTTTCCATGTCAGCCAATTACCTGGTGATCACTGACATTCCATCTTGCAGTAATACTTTTCTGAAATATAATATGAGTAGTAACCAATCAGATTTCTGTATACACAGAAATGTCTGTATATGAAGAGGAAGGAAAAAATTATCTTTCTGCTATCTATTATATCTGCACATAATGCAGTGCAGAGTGGCACAGATGATGTTAGTTTAGAGCTAACTTGTGTAACAAGAACAAACAGCCATATTTTGTTCAGATCTAACTCGAATACCTCTACACAACACTGCTTTATGTTGTATGGGCTTACTGTTGATCACCAGTCACCTGCAAGTTCTCCATTTGGGATATGTTGTTAACAAGCTCAAATAATACTGTAATTTTTTAGTTTCTGAGGCATTTTACATTGTGAGTACAAATTATCTCTAGCCCTGTCTCATCGTTTCAGACTTCCCAGTCCATCAGTTTTGCAAGATGCAGGGTTTGTCTGCAGTGCTACAACATTCTTTTGTCATTTGGTTTGATAATCTCACCTATTTACTTAAAGAAAAAACAGAAGTTAACATTTGTCAACTAGAAGTTCTTGTAAATAGTCTAGGCTCTGAAAGAGGCACATATTATAGATGACACAGAGCACATTCTGTTTCCTGTTCAGTCTTTCATGAGCTCAGTAATCATGGGCAAGTCACTAAGTCTCTCTGCTTTCCTTTCATGCACTGGTGAAACAGTTATGGTAAGAATATGCTAAGATGGTTTAGATAACTTTTCTAAAGTCATTGAAACCTTTGGAACTGGAAGTTTTGTGCAAGTCATTCTATGGGTGAAGCTGAGGAGCTAGTAATTTGGATAGGATAGCAAAACAGAGTAAAATTAATGGAAACCAAGACATAATTTATATTCTATATCAGTTAGAAAACGTCATTGTAAAAATTCAGGCAGTCTGGTGAGAAAGATAGTTTAGATAGCATCAGGGAGCAGTTCCATAGCTGATTTGTGGTAATACATCACTGACAACGTCTGTATCTGTGTCCCTTTCCTCTTACAGTATCGGTCAGGACGGGATCCTCAGCGAGGCTCAGACAATGTTTCTAACAAGTCTTCGGACAGTGATGTCAGCGATGTCTCTGCTGTGTCACGGACAAGCAGTGCGTCACGTTTCAGCAGCACAAGCTACATGTCTGTCCAGTCAGAGCGTCCAAGAGGAAACAAGAAAATAAGGTGAGCACAAGGAGCTGCAGTGCCAGCCACAGGCGTGTAATTTAAGTAACTGAATATTTGTCAATATTTGCATTTGAAATTAATCGTTTGTCTAGGTTGAGATTTGTAGAGAATTTACAAAGTACTTGTTTAAATGTCTTTTTCATCTAATGTTTTTGAAGTCTTCATGGTATTTGTTTTTAGCCAAGTTTTGTCATCTTGGGGTATACTAGCAGACACTACAATAACAAGCATATGCTGTCAGCACACATTTGACACACTTAGATTTTCACTTTCTGAAAACCATTTTTAAAAATACTTAATATGGCTGAAAAGACAGTTTAACTTGAAAAATTGTGATGGTAAAGTCAGAGACATCTTAATTTCTTTTAAACTGGAGCTGCTGAACTTTCAGACTCTTGTTTAATACTTAACACTAGTCCAACTTAACTGTAGACATACAACCACTAAACTACTCTTCAATAAGATGTGTTGAATGTGCTCATCAAAATGTGCTGAACATAGTGTGTCTGTGAGCAAAACACAGTCTCCTCTGAGCCATGTGCACACATAGAGGAGCTTTGGCTGTAGAAGGAATGAAATATCATTTTTCTTGGAAGGTGTGACTCACCTGCATCTGTCATCAAAATTCAGTGTCAGCCTATATTAACTTGCAGAAAGTTGTCTTCTTGAAAGAAATAGTGCATTTGAAAAGATTGTTTAAACATCTGCTTATGAGAGCATTGTTTGGACCCCATTGTTTCTGTCATAGAGTTTTGTGGACATTTCTAAATGTGATGTATTGCCATGCAATTTTTATTTGAAGAAGGACTTAGAGACTGTCCTAAGAAAACATACCATGGTTCTGTAGTGTATGATGGAATTTTAGACAGCATGGTTTAAGTTATGGCTGCTTCCATCTTTTTATTGGATTTCTTTTGCATTTCCTTTATTTTGAGTTCATGCGTGCTCTTCTCCATAATCTTATTTTTTTTTTCTTTTTTCCTTTTGCATGCTTTTTGCAATATTTGTTGACTTCAGAAGCACAAGGGATATAGAGGGGAAAAAAGAGGGAGGGCTGGAAGGGGATGAACAAGATGGAGTATTTCCTGAGGAGGAAGAAAAAGAGCAGGAGGAGGAAAAAGCAAAGGAGCAAGAAGTTAATGGAAAAGGGGAAGGGCAAGAGGTGACAGAGAACTGTGATCAGGAGGAAATCAAAGGATCAGGGCATGATGAAAAAGCTCAAGAAGACCAAGCTGAGGAAGGGAAGGAGGATGACAGGTAAAATGTACTTCTGTTTCTATAGACCTATTCTTCTTCCTCCTGTACCAGGACCCTACTTGTCTTCCCCCCCCCCCCCCCCTTTTTTTTTCCCTTTGCTTAGCTTATAGTCTATGTTCTCTGTGGCTTGTTTGTTTGTTTTCAATTATGACACTTTAAGCAAGTTTCACTCTCAACTTCAGTGACTTTTTTGTATACCAAATGGTGCACTAACTTGACTCGTTATGCATGCAAATACAGCATACTATTTATTAAATTGGTTCAGACTAGAGTTTGGGTTTGACTGTAATAAACAACAGGAGCTGTAAGATTCCTTGTTATAATCCCTGCTTGACTTACTATTTCAGGGAAAAACCTTTTATTGGGTCATATCAATATCAAACCCGTCTTTACTTTCATTTCTGGCAGCACTAAAGAAGAGAATTTGGATTTTTTTTTTAAATCTTTTTTGTGTAGGTTGATAAATGTGCATATTGTTTGACAATAGACGTGGATAATCAAAGTCTTCCCTGTTTTTGTTGTTCCAATAACTGCCATGGGCTGATGTATTGTGGAGGAGTCATGGGCCACTGCTGCTGTATTGTGTGCAGAAACATTTCAGCACGATTTTTTCTGGTTTTATTAGATAATATTCTAGATTTATACATTTTAGCACAATTCCTTTGAAACTTGACTTTTAATGTAAATAAGTGACATTTTGTATTGCAAAATCTATGTAATTTGCATTAAGAGAAAGACAATATTTCTTCCTTCTTCATTAGCAAAAAATTAGCTTGAAGTTTGCTGAATACTTTTGAACCCCTTCTCACCTACACAAGAATGGCAGAAAATCTCAGAAAACAATACTTTCTTTAAACCTGCTAGTTCTGCACTACCTATAGATAACATGCTTGTAAAACTATGCTCATGCATATTTGGGTAAATGCAGAGCACTCTATGTCAATCCACTTTCTTCCTTTGCTACAACTTACATGTGTATGTGCCTGCAAATTCACACGCACGTGAACATGCACAAAGCAGAGGTGATACCAAAAGAGAATCAAGATGTGTAGTGTCCATTCTGGGCTGGTATGGGCCAATATAGCCATACTACTGCTTTTATACATTGAGTGTCAGCATTCCTTCTCTTGTGAGTGCATTTTAGAGTTCAGCAAAGTCACTTGTTTAGAAGCAGCTGCCTTTAACACTGCCTTGGCATACATCTTCCAGGAGCCATTGAATGGAAGTCTGGGAAAGGATGTTTTAAAGACCTTTTACTTTCCTGGCTCCTACTACTCATTAATTAAGAATGACAAGTTTAATGGATCTGGAAGTCATGCTTCTCAAAAAGCATAACCTTATTTCTGGTTTCCAACAATCACTCAGGTTATTCTTCAGCAAAAATGCTGTCCCTCACAGAAAGTAAAGTTCTTTTTTAGTAACAACTTCTTGTTTCCTGTGCCAGCTTGTTTCTCTGCTTGTTAGCTGTTCTCTGCCTTCAGGAAGAAGCAGCACAAGTTCAGGAGTCCCTGCTTGATAGAACAAGCTATTATAAAATGACTGCTGTGCAGTGACTTTGTGTTCGATTTTGGCTCCCAACAAATCATCCTCTAGTTTTGTTTCCCGCTATGCCCATTTTGCCTACTTTTAGTCTGTAAGTTGTGAATAAAAAGGAAAGCTTCTTTATCTACCTTCCTTTCCTATGGTACAAGAAGTGCTCATCTTTTTAATATTTTCTGAACATTCTTCTAACAGCACTGATTTAGTCCTGTATAGGTACAGGTGTATATATACATACGTATATATACACACATAGTTATGTATGTCATCATATTGAAATATTGTCATTTGTGTGTTCAGTTGACTAACCTGGCAGCAGGATCAATCCTAAGTGTTGTTGTAAATTTGGTGCCTTCTGCTTACTTGTTTGGCAATTTATAAGAGGGAGTTTTCAGACACAATCACCAAAACATCACTTAATAATTAAACATCTATGGTATTTGAGAAACCCAACAGAACCAAAGCAGACAGTTCATGCATTACAGAACAGTAGTTAATTATCATCTGTTTTTTGAGGTCTTGGGCATCAGGAAAGCCTGCATTACAGACAGAAATTGTCGATATATATTTTTACTTCAGAGGTACATCTTCAGTTGAAAGCAGTCACCTTTGCTCTGGGCAATCTGGAACACAGAGGCTGCTCTCAATCAACCCACCATCAAAAATTAGCTCGTTAAGGATACATCCTACCTCTTGATGTCACTGTGCTTATATACTTTATGAGTTACGGTAATAGTTACACTAAGGACTTTAATCTGCTGAGATCATAGGTGGATTCAGTGTATCTTAAATGCCTGTGAAGACAGATATCCATCATGGTTTCATCTCATGCCTGTTTTAAAGAGTCTTTCAGTGCAATAAAATGCATTAGCTTTTGGAGCACTGGAGCACAATAAATCAATGAATTTTTTTTTCAGAAATAACTGCAGCATCAGATTTTGCCTTCATTAGACCTTGTAAAACTAAACCTTGGCATATGGTTCACATATAGGGAAAACATAACTATGTTCTTTCTTGGCAGTGCATGTTAGTAAACAGAAAGCATGGATCAAACTTCCCTGTTGTGATTTTTAAGGATTCCTTATATACAGTTCCCTGATGTTATTTCGTGTTCCAGCTCCCTGATGACGTCAGGGACAAAAAAAGCCCTCTTAGAGCTAATGTGTGGGAATTCATCACTTTTATTGCAGGAAATCTGTTTAAGACAGCTCTAAATCCTAACTTTCCTTAGCATTTTTTTTTAAATATCAGTCCTAAGGTATCATAGAATCATAGAATCATAGAATAGTTAGGGTTGGAAAGGACCTTAAGACCATCAAGTGCCAACCCCCTGCCATGGGCAGGGACACCTCAAACTAAACCATATCACCAAAGGCCTTGTCCAACCTGGTCTTGAACACTGCCAAGGATGGAGCATTCACAGCTTCCTTGGGCAACCCATTCCAGTGCCTCACCACCCTAACAGGAAAGAATTTCCTCCTTATATCCAATCTAAACTTCCCCTGTTTAAGTTTTAACCCGTTACCCCTTGTCCTATCACTACAGTCCCTAATGAAGAGTCCCTCCCCAGCATCCCTATAGGTCCCCTTCAGATACTGGAAGGCTGCTATGAGGTCTCCGTGCAGCCTTCTCTTCTCCAGGCTGAACAGCCCCAACTTTCTCAGCCTATCTTCATACAGGAGGTGCTCCAGTCCCCTGATCACCCTTGTGGCCCTTCTCTGGACTTGTTCCAACAGTTCCATGTCCTTTTTATGCTGAGAACACCAGAACTGCACACAATACTCCAGGTGAGGTCTCACAAGAGCAGAGTAGAAGGGCAGGATCACCTCCTTCGACCTGCTGGTCATGCTCCTTTTAATGCAGCCCAGGATATGATCCTAATTCTGATTGTCATGACAATTTTGTTTTATCATATGAATACACAGCAACTGTAATGACAGAGCAGGATTTCACTGTTCTACACACACTGTTGAAATACAGAAGAAAAATTCAACCCCTTTTCCAAGCACATAGAGTCTGTCATGAAATGATGTAGGAGTCCAGAGATGGAAAACCAGGAGAATTAAGAAGTGTTCCACATAACAGGAGCTGGTTACCATACTGGGCTGGGGACAGCTTGACATCAGGGTTGATTTAAAGAAAAAAGATAAGTTAGCTTTAGGAGTGTTTCTGGAGAGCTCTTTTCAAGCATTAGAGGCAATGTTGAAAAGCATGAGGTGCTTACTAAAAATAAGTCAAATGGATGATAGGGCAAATCTGATGAGCAGCAGGAGTTGATCTTTCAGTCTTGAATGTGAGAAGATAAATGTGATAGGGTACAACTGCTAAAATACTGGAAAATAAAGATGAATTATGTACAACTGGATTAAAGACTCTTCAGTGGTGTCAGGCAATAGCATGAGAGACAACAGGCATAAACTAAAACACAAGAAGTTCCACCTGAATTCAATAACTTCCTTACTGTGAGGGTGACTGAACACTGGTATAGGTTGCCCAGAGATGTGACTGTAGTTGCAGAAGTGATGAAAGCAAGACAAGTTTCTGTGTTACTTTCTAAAGGGCTATGCTAAAGCATGTTTCTGTGCTTTGGGGAAAAAGCCAGTGATGACCAGGTGGCTGGAGGTAAGAATAAGGAAGGAGGTGTGGGAGAAAAGGAAATCAGAAGATAGCATCAAATCAAACAGTTGAGGAAGATATCCAGTGAGAAATTCCTGCATTTATGACAGGAGCAATAGAAGAGAAATGTATAAAGAAGAGAATGCAGGGACAGCACAGAGAATTGGTCATGTGTTTTGCTATGTATTGGAAGAAATCGATGACATCACGTGTGAAGAAAAGTGAATGCTAAAGGACAGCTGAAGAAATGGAGCTGATTAAGTAGAAAGATGACATAACTGAGGAAAGAGAACTTGTGACAGAAAAAGTCAGCTAGGATGTAAATTTGTAGAGGCACTTGAGGACACATGAAATAGAGTGCGGGATGTAGTTTTAAGTAATGGATTTCTTCAGATACAGACCTTTTTATCTTCCTAATGCTTCTTCATGCTCTCTATGCCCCTTCCCTTCTTGGGTTTAAAGATTCATTTCAAATTTATTTTACTTCTTTTTTGTGTCATTCAGTAAAAAAAAAAAAATCTCTAAAGAATTTAATTTCTAGGTTTTAAAACTGATTCCTAATGAGTATTTGTTCCTTAGCTTTTCATTATATTATAATCTAGTATTTCAGTTTTTATGAGTCTTCCACTGTGATTGAAGCTATTGCCAGTTAAATGCAGTGTTTTGCAAAGCTGGATGAAAAAGCAGTCTGTGCAAGCTCCTTGGAGTGGAAACCAATAAATGGTTTTGAAAATGTGTATTCTGGTAAAAATGTCAAAAACTGTGACTCCGACTGAGAATCCATTTTCAGTGTGCATATGTTGTTTAGTTTCTTAAAGCTATTTCAGAATTATTATAATGACTGC